CGAATTTCTATGGATCAAAGTGTGGCCCATTGTTAGGCCACGCTTTCTTCAATAAGACGGTTTTGCTCTAGCACGTTAGGGGCGACAAAAAATTAATTTTGGACTATTATCAGTATCTGGAGCCATGTCTTATACTTCCTTAGGGGGAGGGGGCGAATGACGGTCTTTGCTGTGTTTCACGTTTGTTATTTAGCTCACAACAACGAAACTTGCATGTTTTCACCTGGTATGATGGATGGTGTTGCCTCCGAACAGCTTTATCAGCAGGTACTCTTCAAGTTCATTCTTTTTCCATAGTTGCGTTTGGCTTCGGTATCATATTCAGATATACCTTAGTTTTTGCACCATCTTTTTGCTCTTCAGCAGCCCTATGTGATAAGTGTCACAGAGGATTCCGTCACGAATTCTTCTCCTGCATTGTCGGCCTCAAATAATCCTCTCAAAAATGTGATGAATGATACTGGTGCGAGCAACAACAGCTCTCCGGTACTGCAGCGTCCAAGCACTAATGGCCACCATAACACTGCTGTCTCCTCCTACAACATTCCTGAGCAAGTTAGTTGCTTTACTGGTTTTGTACCAATTACGAATTTGTTAACTACACATTTGCTAACATACTTTATTCGAATGTAAACTCATGCTGTCATTATGAAATTACAAGACCATAAACGTTTTGTATGTATTTTCAGCAACTTCCTGTAAACATAGATCGAACCCAACTGCAACATGAACGTGATGCTGCGGTGGCAGCTTATGAGCAAGTATCCGCGCAACTTGAACAACTGGTAAGTGCGCTAGGGCCTCGGGTGTTGCTGTTCAAGGATGCAGTCCCGGGATGGTTTACCTTCTAAGCTCACTGAATGACTTTTACGGTATTTAAAGCCACATTGTGTATATTTTCAGCGTATGCATTACGCCCAGTTACACGCAGCTTACTCCAGCATGAGCAACAGTGCAGTCCATTCCGATGCCGATAAGCAAATTCAGCAACTTCAATCGGTGAGATGCTGACCAAGCTAGTGTATTTTGGCCACTTATGGCTTCTTTGCTCAACTCGATATACTGTCTCTCAGTCTTTGTTCTTCAGGCGCTTGCAGTGCTTGTTGAGGAAAAAACTTCGGTGCAGTCTGAATTGCGTAATGTAAAAAGTGATCTGGAGCAGGAAAAAATTTTGAATGAAAGTGTAAGTTGGACTCGTATTGGCTTTCTAACTGTGCTTATAAGGTGATTCTTGATGAGCAATGCACTGTGAATTGTTTTTCCTTCAGCTTTCCGCAAATATGAAGTCTCTTCGCGGTGACGAGTCGAAAAAACTGCAGAACCGTTTGGTGGAGTGTGAGCATCTTCTGTCTGCCCGCAGCGTAGAACTCGATGGTCTCAGAAGGAGTGAAGCCAATGCCCAAGCACAACTTCTGGCTGTCCAGCATGAAAGGAGTGAGGCGCAGGTAATTTTCTACTTTGATAACATCATCCCTACTCCTCTGTAATACTTTTATTAAGGCTCGGTGTTTTAGGCTCGTCTCAAAGTCATTGCCCGCGAGAAAGAAGTGTTGGACTCGGAGCTGAAACAAGTGAGGAAGGAACTCCATATGAAGGAAATTTATTCTGAAGCAACTGGGCCCGCATGGAATAATGAACAACATGAGCGACGAGAACACCATCAAAGCCCTACATGGTGAGATTAATTGAATTTTGATGTCAGTTGAGTATTTCTCTTTGCAGTTGAGTATCATTTCAGAGC